GCTATGTTATTGTCAGAGCTCATTAACAAGTACTTAGTTTGCAATGCTGCATGCATATACACAGATCTGTATGCATATAACATAAGCATAACTGCAAGCATACACAGAGATCAGAATGACAGCTACATGTATAATTAGGTATCAAATGAAGATTACACATAAAGTGCTAGAGATGGAGATGTAGCAAAATTACATCAAAGAGGAAGATACATGCACTAAAGAACAAATAAGATAAGGTAGTGAAGAGTGAAATGGTATGATATACAAACTATGCCCTTCCCTTACTACACAATGTACACTACTAGCAGTATGATATAGTGCTTCATCTGACCAGTAATAGGTGACCTTTTGAACAATAATATATGATCTTTTATGAATAATATACTACAGAAAATACAGTCAACAGTATATGAAATACAGAAGGTATTCTGGTATGTATCTAAAATATCTTAAAAAGCGAAGATGCATAGATGTACATGTACATGCACATGTATGTGTGTCCATTATACTTATTGTATAAGTAATAAGAATAACCCCAGCCTCTGGTCATACACTAAGATCTACTCTTTGTACTGACCTTTAGCTATTACCACACACACATTCTTTATACTGGTACACATATAGTTGACCATATTTGGGCATAATAACTGAAATGCCAATAATAACAGTGTAAACAGTCAATGTCATGTGATGATGAACCTTACATACAATTAGAGGAACTACTTGTCTTGCAAAGTAACTTCAACAATAATTACAAGATGATTGATGTCTCTCAATGGAGAGCAAGTATTGGACTGTGGAACTACTGTCAAGCTGCCTCCAGTAGACCAGCTAATGGCCGCAACTCTCACTCATTCAAAGCTGCAGTAGACAGCAAGTCAGGCAGTACTACATCAGGAGAGAAGACAACTAAACTGCCAGCAGCTCTGTCTCTTATTGCTTTACTCCTCCTCCTCTTTCTCTCTCTCTCTTTATTAAGACACATCTTGATGATTCCTTCAACAGGTAAACAACAATTGCAACTTTGTACTTGTATATTTACTGGTATTTTATTATTAGGTAACTGCTACCAAGTACAATGTACTACTGGTGTTACTGTTACTGATACAAATTACCTCCAGTCAGTAGTCTTACCTGGAGGCATTAGTTCTAACCTGATTTACAATGATCTCTATTTGATTGTTTGTCTACGTATGCTCCTCCTCTTATCAGGAGATGTTGAACTCAATCCTGGTCCTATAACAGGTAAGCATACACTTAATACAACACTCATTAACTGATACACTACTGCAGGTAATCCAAAAGATATATTACAGAGTCATTCATATCGAATAGTTCATGCTGTTAGTGTGGATCTATACAATGTAACTAATGCACTGTATGCTAAAGAACTGATACCACAACAAACTAGAGATGAGATGCATGTATCAGGAATAGCTACGTATCAGAAATCTATTAGAATTTTTAATGCCCTTAAGCAACAGTTGGGATCCTCTCTTAATCCAGAGCAGTATCTTATTGATATATGTCATGTATTAATAAACCAACAACATCGTACACTAACAGATATTGCTACCTCTATATTACACCAGTTAGGTGAGTGTGTGTGTGTACATTATCAGTGATCAATAATAATATTATAATCTCAATACATTTATAGGATCTAAATACTTAGATATTGAAGATCTGAGAAAATCAGGTCAGATAATAATTTTAAAATCTGATATACCAGTAATTTGATTTTGAGCTTGTCTTAAATGCTATTGTTTACAAAGCCATTTATCCTGTGCATGTAGCTTTTTACTATTTCTCATTAATTATGTAATGATTTTAATAAAATAAAGCTGTGAATCACTTTACATGTATTGGAACAGGTACACTAGAGCAGTGGTGTAAAGAAGGTATCATGAAGCTGACTCTTACTCGTGTACTCATGATTGGTCCTGCTGGATCTGGAAAAACGTGTGCACAACGTCTTCTACTTAATGAAGAACCTCCAACAACAATATCTGCTTGTTCTTGTGACTTATCTACTTCTTCTGATCAACACGCCAATACTCCTTCAGCCACTAGCTCACCACCTGCTAATCCTCTTATCTCTTCTGATTCTACAACTGCTTCTGGCTTCACTATAGTCTCTACCACTGACAGTACACCAATAGCTTGTAAAGCTGTCAAAGCTCTTAGAATAGCTTTTGATGATGGTAAGGAGACATGGAACAGAATAACGAGGGGTAAATTGCTTCAAAAATTGGCATCAAGTTTAAAAGAAGCTGCTTCTCAACATTCTCATTCAATTGATTCATGGAGTACCCAACGGACAATTAACCCAACAGAAACACAAGACCTTGGAAATGTTTTTAAGGAAATTGCTGATCTCCTACCTGATGCAGGAGCTCAGTTAAGTGAGAAGTGGGTATACATTGTTGATTCTGGTGGTCAACCAGCATACCAAGAGCTATTGCCTGTGTTTACTAGAGCAGCTACTCTTAATGTCATTACACTTGATATTTCAAAAGACCTTGATGAGGAGTTTGAGTTTATGTATCGAATTAATGGACAAGAATTTCCATGTGACAGAGGAATAAAATATTCAAATCGTAAGATTTTCAATTCTGTTGTTTCATCAGCATCAGTTCAAAAACCAATTGATATTCCATTTGTAAAACATCAACCTAAACATTCAATGTCTTTTGTCCTGGGTACTCATTATGATGTACTTATTGAAAGAACTAATGAAAAAGATGCTGAGACAAAAGTGGCAAAGATGAGTAGTAACTTGATGTCGGAACTGCCTCATTTAAAAAATCGTATCATTTCTAAAGTACATAAAAATTCTGTAATATATCCAGTTGATACAATGCAAAAAGATCCAGTTGTAAGAGAGAAAATTAGTAGAGAAATTTTAGGGATAATGTCAAAATGTACAGAAGTCGTAATTGAAATAGAGGTCCCAATGCGTTGTTTTGTGTTTGAGCTGTACTTGGAAGAAAAGGCAGAAAGCAAAGGTTTTGCTACTAAAAAAGAAGCCATTGAAGAAGGTGATAAGCTTTACATGAATGAAGAAGAAGTTGAAATAGCTCTAACCTTTCTTCACAACAGCACAATCATTTTATACTACCCTGACATTGAACCACAATTAGTGTTTATTGATCCTCAGAAAATCATCAATGTTCTTTCACATTTGTTAGCTCTTACTTATGTCAGTTATCCATCACCAGCAACATCAATGGCAACAGGATTATTACAGGAGGAAATGACATATCTTACAAATGAAGGATGTTTCAATGAAGCCCTTCTTGATAAGTTTACGGACATATTTTTAGATCCTTTTACACCAAAATACTTCATTAACCTCCTTGAACATCTACATATTATTAAAAGCGAGGCTCAAAATGGAGATAATTGCTACTTTCTTCCTTCAGCTTTACCTGCCTACAATAATAACTATGATAAGGATCTGCCTGAAAGTATAAAGCCTCTTTATTATTTGTGGAAGGAGGAATGTAAATCAAGATCTAAAAATTTTGTCCATGTTCCTCAAGGAATTTTTTCTTTAATTTTTGTCCATTTGTTACATTTGCTTGAACAGAAAGAATTCTGTGACGAGATGGAGTTTACTCATCATCCTAAATATCGTGATGCCTTTTCACTTTGGATCTACATTAAAGGAAAGCGTTACACACTTTACATAATCAATAATCGCTCCAAACATATTGAAGTCTATTTTAATGGACCTAAGAACTATTGTTCACAGGTTCGTGAGCTGATTACCACAACTATTAATACAAGCTCTGATGCTATTAGTGCTAAACGAAATTATATGAGTGCATTTCCTTGTCCCAATGGAATAAAGCATTGCTATTGTATTGTGAATGAGAAGTATAAGGTAGCAAATTGCTCAAAGTGTGATTCAAATGATATCAGTAAAAGTGATGAGACTTACTGGTGCTGGTTTGACTGTAGTTCAGCAGGTAAAATATTACTGGAATTATGATACATTTAGCTTCTTCTGAATACTGTATATACTACATTACTGTATTGGGTCCTGCATGTAACATTATTATTAATACATGTACATGTAAATCATAAAATAACCAATCTTCAAATACATACTTATACATTTACACATACAAATCATATTTATATACAAATACATGTAGCTAATCTACTTCTGTTATCAGATCTATATCAAATTGTTGTAACGCAATAACTGGTACAATAAAACTATTTTAAGGATTCACAAAATAAACAATATAACATTTTTAACAGACAAAGCAAAAAGTATTGAAAGAGAAGAGACAGATTCAAAGTAAAATCTTTTATACTGTAATAATAATGTATTTTTGTTCTATTTATAGAGAATCAATAGCTGCTCAATATAATCCTGGTTCTATAACAGGTAAACAACAGCTGATGGTAGAGTAGTTACTCTTTGTTATGCTTCTGTTATAAATACGTCTATCTAATATAGACAAGGAGCTTACTATAGTATAGCCACTGTCATAAAAGTATTTGATTCTTCTGATCAGCATTAGTTTTTTAATTTGATAGTGTTAATTTTGACAATTTACTTGATAGATAATCTCAGTAACAACATTATATCCTATCATATTGTTATAGACAAAAAGTGTACTAAGGCAGCAGTCCAACAAATATTTGATCCTTCTGCTCGCCATTACATGATAATAGGGACTGGATTGGGTGTAGATGTGGCTGATCTGATGCTAATACCAGGACAAGCAAGTAACAACCTTATTAAAGTATTCGAGAGGTGGTTTGATGCTGATAAAGATGTCAATTGGGATACATTAATAAAACTGTGTGATGACTTTCCTGATAAACTGGGCAAAGCAAAATCTGACCTTCTGGCATATATAGGTAAGTTATAGATTTAGAAGCTTATTATTCCTAATATTCCTGAGAGTCTATGGCAATGGCTCTTAACTGGTGTGCATAAATGCCTACTTATAAGTCATAATACATCAGTTAATAATAATAAGAAGTAATAATTGAATTATTAATGACCACAATTAGGTCAAATGTCATATGTCTCTACACATGCTGAGAAAAGTAAACAAAAATTGACAGAAACTGATACAAGGTAAATGAAAATGAGTAGATTGAATATTATGAGCACAAACAAAAATGTTGGCTACTAGATATTACCCATATTTTCCATCTACTATTTAGACAATATAATGTCAAGAATTTAAAAGAGGAAGAAGATGAAGACATGCCAGATATCAATTGATACATGACATTAGGATCTTAACAATTATTAGTGAACTAAATTCTTGTTAAAAATAGTTTTGAATTTTAAAATAATTTTAGTCATTTTAGTGATTAGTGTAACATATCCAACGACAATATGCATACAAATATAACATGTGAAGTTTAGAAATGATATTAGATCTAGTATTATTATAATACATTAAAGTAATCAGAATAATTATTACAAATTTAAAAATTCAAATTTGAACACAATCAGCTCAAACTTTCTACGGAATTTATGCAACATAAGAACATGTAGATATATGTGTATTAGAAAAAGTATTAAAACAAGAAATTCTATCCTTTTCAATTTTGGCAAAATTTGGCCCATGACTGTACAGGGAC